CTCAAAATTAGTATCACAATATCAGAACATTGTAACTCAACGAAAAAGGGGATTTTCTGGGGTTATTGATAATTTATAAAGCAAATGGTATATGCCACCTAAAAGATCATACATTTTATGCTAAACTCACACAAAACTTAAGATATCTGCAACACTAAAAAGTTTTTAACGTTTGGTACACATTATTGTTATTATCGGGTCACGATTAGTAGGTAAACATACGAACATTTACCTTTTTTCTTTACGTTTCGAACTGGTTGCACAGTTCGTGGTCGCGAGGGGACTGATGACGCAGCGAAGTGTAGACCGCCGCGTCGTGAGAATATTAAAATACCCTCATTTAGAAAGGGCACGCGCACGCCTCTCTCTCCGCCTTTCTGGACCACCTACTAATCGTTTACGCGCATCGACCCGATAATAACAATAAAGTTTTTAACGTTCAAAAAAGAATACCAGAATCTTCAAACGGCTCCCCTGTAAAGTTAGCAAATTTGAGTTACAATGTTCTTCGATGTATTGGAATTTTTAATGCACTCACAGCGCAATATTATACTCATAAATTGAAATTGAAAATGAGAAAATTGAGCTACGGGCGCCTAGCCTAGGCGCCAGTCGGTAGAGCGGTGGAACGGTGATCCACAGTCCCGGGTTCAAGTCCCGGCGGTCGCTAGTGAATTTTTCAATTTTCTCATTTTCAATTAATGCTCATCGAATCAGGTGTCGATATAATAAATAGATTCGGCAGCGGTAGCGGCGGCGCATGTTGGTGCCTGCCGACCGCGGCCACGAACTGCCTGTCCTCAGTGGTGAGTACCATAGTCTAATAAAACATGGTCTTACATTCCCAGAGAAACACTTGCCTACGTCACTAGTATTGCCACTTTATTTCAATAAAATACGTTATGGGTTAAAATCAATGTCAGAAAAATGAGTTAAAATATTTCCTAATAATTTTATAATTTAGATTTACGTGTGTATTAACTTGAACTTTACAACAACACTTAAATTGTATTTATCTACACTTCATACATAATGTTCCTATTACAAATTCGAAAGCAAATGTATAAGCAACTGCTTTACAGCCATTCAGCCTTTAAAAAAAAATGTCGATATCATAAAGTAAAATGTCGATGTCATAAAGTACTTTTTTCTGACTTTATGATATCGACATTTAGCAGTAAGATAATAAAAAAAAACAAATGTCACGACACAATCAAAGAATGGGACGACACTTGAAATTATGAGGACTTATTTATTATTAAATCTTTGCTTCAAATCATTTTTCGAATTAAAATTTACCGATAAATGCTATTTAATTTTAAAAGTTGTTCAGTTTTTATGAGCCTCCATTTTAACGTTTAGTTAAAAAGTTACTTATGTATAAAAGTCGTTGAGTTGGTGGTTCAGTAGATAGGCTTGCAATCGCCATAGTGCAGTGCGGCGGTTGGAATTATTTTAGGCTTGCAATCGCCATAGTGCAGTGCGGCGGTTGGAATTATTTTTCATAGTTTTTCTTGTAGAGTGTAGATAAAATAGTGTATGCAACTGCAAATAATTAGGCTTTAGAATGCTCGTGTCAAACTATTATCACACTCGGCTGCGCCTCGTGTGATAAACAGACACTCTCATCCTAAAGCCTCTCATTATTAGGCAGTTGCATAAACTACTATTATTAGTTAACAGTATCTTATATGATTTACAAAAAACGTCATAAGAGTGGGTAATTCTGGTAACCCACAAGCATGACGACGTAGGCAAGTGTTAGTCGCGTGGTTCACAAGTCTCGGAATGGAATACCAGGCGGAGTATCTTATTATACCATGGTGAGTACATGACACTCGCACCCGAGGCTCTGCCTGGACGAGCAGTGCCAGCGAGTCTTGCTCCTGCTCAACCTCGAGTAGGTGTACGAGTCGTAAACGAGCACAACGCCATTGCCACGTCTGGATGGGACGAATGTGATGATGTCGTCTGCAAAGTAGATTCATAATAGTCTGATTATGTGGAGGTATTTGAAAGGCACACTTTTGCCTTGGATGTATTTGAAATAATTTGTTTAAGACTTTCGCGCATTGTACACATTATTGTAGGTATTGTTTTCATAGGTTGGTACACATGCGGACTTTTTTTTCCTGTTTCAAACAGGTTTCACTGTTCGTGGTCGCGATGGGACTAGTCAATACAATTATGTATTTGAAAGTCATACATTTTTTTGTAATCTATAAGAAACATGTGTTTCAGCTTCAAAGGGCAGTTTTAATGTATGGTTGGGACCGATTTATTTTCATTTAATAGCTTCGGCTTAATCAGGGCAAAAGTGAATAGGCACTATCGAGGCAAACATGTTCCAACTTCATCTGCATCGTCACTTACCAACGGGCGTGATAGTAAACAAATGCGGGCCTATTTTAATTAAATAGCGGCCCGTTAGCGATTTCACTCGCTGCAACTACTTTTCCAACGGGGAAAAGGGCATTTTCTCGACATGTATCATAAATGTAAACAATGCTCTTGAATCACTCTATCTATTATAAAAAGAGCATCAAAATCCATTGCGTGGTTTAGGATGAGTTAACGAATTCCCCGACTCAGTTCAGGTTACAAAAAAAGTCTACAATCAACTGTGAAAAGCATTTTATTTAACTACTAATTAAATAAATTATTTTTATTTGAATAAACATAGTAATACTGCTTGTGATACTGGCTGGATTTGAAAAAAAAAAACTCTCAATTTATACAATACAGGTAATAACAGTTAGCATCAAAAGCGGAGCAGCCCCGCCTGCCAAGAGTCGGAGTATGGTTTATTTATATGTATAGGTAAGCTTAAAATTGGAAAATCACCTGGAAACGATGGTACCCACGCCGAAATTATCAGGCTCAAGTGCATATTACCCATCCTGCACAATCTGTTGTGTAAATGTTGGGAAGCGGGATATATACCACAGGATATGCGCGATGCTAACATCATTACCCTATACAAAGGCAAAGGTGACCGCGGTGACTGTAACTGTTATCGTGGAATATCCCTTTTAAGTATAGTAGGTAAATTATTTGCTCGGTTAGTCTTAATAAGACTCCAGAAACTTGCTGATCGTGTATATCCCGAATCGCAATGTGGATTCCGCGCCCAACGTTCCACAACAGATATGATCTTTACACTTCGCCAACTGCAGGAAAAGTGTAGAGAGCAGAAAACACCTCTGTTTGTGGCGTTCGTCGACCTTAACAAAGCCTTCGACACCGTGAGCAGGGAAGGACTCTATACTGCACTTTTAAACATCGGGTGCCCTCCAAAACTTCTAAGCCTCATTAAATCCTTCCACGAGGACATGAAAGGATCTGTTGTTTTTAACGGCAATACATCCGAGCCGTTCGAAATGCGTAGAGGTGTTCGCCAAGGCTGCGTGTTGGCTCCTACCCTGTTTGGTATTTTCTTCTCATTGCTTTTTAAAGTTGCTTTCGGCGATGACCAACAGGGTATACACCTGCACACTAGGGCTGACGGGAAGCTATACAATATCTCGCTTCTTAAGTCAAAGCGTAACCGCGATGACTTATTCGTCGATAGCCTTTTGTTCGCTGACGATGCAGCCTTCGTTGCTAATTCTCAAAGTGAGCTTCAAGACATTGTTGATAAGTTTTCCCACGCGTGTTCTCTGTTCTCAATGTCCATTAATGCCAAAAACAGTAGTGCTAGCTCAAGGTGGAGAAACACCACGTATTTTGCTCGGTGGCGTTCCTTGAACATAGTTGACAAGTTTTGCTACTTGGGGTCGACTGTGTCGAACAATCTCACCCTCGATGCTGAGATCAATACTCGTATCGGCAAAGCGGCGACCATGTTCGGCAGGCTCAGTACAAGAGTATGGAATAATAAACACCTGACCACAAAAACCAAGATAATTGTTTACCAAACTTGCGTTCTAAGCATACTCTTGTATGGAGCTGAAACCTGGACTTCGTACGCAAAACAAGAACGTCGACTCAACACATTTCATATGCGCTGTGTAAGAAACATCTTGCATATAACTTGGCAGGACAGAGTCACAAACGAGCGAGTTCTAGAAATTGCACAGCTGCCTAGCTTTACCGCTTTGCTTAAGCAAAGACGATTGCGGTGGCTAGGGCATGTGTACCGCATGGAACCTTCGCGTCTACCGCGGCGTGTCCTGCTTGGCGCCGTAGCTAACGCCAAAAGAGGAGTTGGAAGACCGATGCTACGTTTCAAAGATTGCGCCAAACGGGACATGGCTGCGTTTGACATCGACCATCAAAGCTGGGAGAAGCTTGCTGAGAATAGGGATGTATGGAGAAAGCGTGTGTTTGATGGGCGTAAAGCTCACGACGATGCCTGGTTCGCTGGTCTCGCAAACAAAAGGCAAAAACGACATCTAAACATGCATGTGCCAGTCTCTAATTCCACCTTCGTTTGTAGAGCGTGCGGAAAGTCATGCCGCTCCCGTATCGGCTTATACAGCCATGAAAAATCTTGCCTCAGACACTGAATAAATCGTCTGTCAAAGACGTATGAGGCCAATGATGATGATGATAGGTAAGGGTACGGTATCGGTATGAGTATGGTAAATACCTCTCAAAAGGGGGGAGGCCCATGTCCTTCAGTCAGCTCCAGTGGAGTTACTGCAACTTCAAACTAAACCCAACGCCAGAAAATCACTGTTCTGGACATGTGCCACCTTTTATTATTTGCTATCCCACTACGCTTGCAGGTGGATTGGCGAGCGTAATGCCAAGTGTTGTTTTCACATAGAACGCTGCTGCCCCATTCCCTGGATACATCCTTTTACGATACCCATAGGTATAAATGGGCTGATGCTATTTCTAATCCGGCACCACACGACGACAGTGGAGGCACTACTGATTTACTAACGTCTTACACTAATTAAGGGAGAATGATTTAGTTTTTTTGTATATGTAATCAATAATCTTCGAAGCTACTGGACCGACAAATTGAAAATGAGAAAATTGAAAAATTCACTAGCGACCACCGGGACTTGAACCCAGGACCGTGGGATACCGTCCCACCGCTCTGCCAACTGAGCTACGGGCGCCTAGCGGACCCTGGTGAATTTCTCAACGTCTTCCTGCTCGTCTTGAAGCGACGATAAGGTATTTTTTTCGCTAGAGAAACTTTCAGTTTTTACATTTTCATTTTATGAGAATAATGTAGGACAGTGAGTGCATTAAAGATCCCAATATACTGGACAGATTTTAAAAATGCAGTACTATGTTGTCTCACTGTATATGGACTACGTTTTTGTACGAGTAGCACGCTTTACTACAATTAATTATAGAAATGCGGCAGTGGCGGGTTGTGTGCGTGACTGCCGACCGCGGCCACGAACTTCCCATCATCAGTGGTGACCACCTGACACTTGCACCCAAAGGCTTTCTTCGACGAGCAGTACTATGGTGTCTTACTGTATTTGGACGTTTTTTGTACGAGTAGCACGCTTTACAATTAATTATAGAAATGCGGCAGTGGCGGGTTGTGTGCGTGACTGCCGACCGCGGCCACGAACTTCCCATCATCAGTGGTGACCACCTGACACTTGCACCCAAAGGCTTTCTTCGACGAACAGTACCATCGTGTCTTGCTGTATTTGGAGAAAGTATACGTCTTGTATACGAGTAGCAAGCCGTGTTTGCCGCGATTCGTTGGGATGTATTCAATAACTTCGTCGTTACCTGGCAAAATGTAAGTAGGTATAAGTGTTTGAGAAATTACCTGCAGGTTATATGTTATATATTTAGGATAAAAATGTAAGCATTTGAAAAATAAAATATTTAAGCATTTGCAAAATAACAATGCGAAATTACTAAATTATCTCGTCGTCATCTGACAAGCTCAAGATGAAGATCATGATTTACAACTTTGTATATTTTATAAGTTGTGCTTTCATTAGTTTTTGCCGAGTAATCACATTGGTAATATATAAAAAACACTATAAAAACAAAAATTAATTTCTTTCATCATCTATTTTATATCAAGGGTTGCTATTAAAATCAAAACACAAACAAAATAAAATAAACATTCTTTATGTCAACCATACTATCTGGTAGTTAGCAACAAAATTTCCTTACATAGCTAATTTTATTGTCTATTGCCTATTATTCAATTTTCATTATGTAAGTGGAGATAGTAGTAACTGGCAGTCGGAAACCGGGGACCGAGGAGAGTGGCGCAAAAGAGGGGAGGCCTTTGCCCAGCAGTGGGACACAGAACAGGCTACATAAAAAAAAAAGTGGAGATAAGTTTTTGGTAGTGATATACAGGGTGTAACGGAAACCCCCTTACAAGCCGAAAGTGGCAAAACATACAGGTGATAAGAAACCTTTGTGTGGAGTATCACACCGTAAAACGCAAATTTTTTAAAACCTAAGAATAACATTTGTAACCTAGTATTCTTAGGTAGTACAAATTTGATCGTTCCCATCACTAACGAAATCAATGCCCTCACGATGTCCTCAAAGCCCTCAAATAAAGTGTTTAGACTAGCTTTCGACATTTTATGCGATCCTGGTAGGTTTCAACGCAAAACTGTCAATACCTCAAATAAAGTTAGTGTTTGGACAGTTTAGATGAGCTTTCCCAAGCAGCAACTGGACGTGCTATAATGGTCGAGAGCACGTTCCTTATTTCTCTTTAAGTTCTATAAAAGTTCTAAAAATAGTCGAGTAAAAGCGCTGTAAACGTTTACTCGACGCGAAAAAGGCGCAAATTATTCAGACTAAAGTCCTATAAAAGAAGAATAAGTGCTGAGTAAGCAGCAAAAAGGTGCTGTAAGAGTTGAGTAAACGTGGTAAAAGAGCAACCAAAATGCTTATATGGGATATTTAGTTCTATAAACGCAATCGAATTGCCTTTATACAGATTAAATGTGCTATAACACCAGCTGAATTGCTTTTATTCGCCTTTTTAGTGCTATGACAGCAAACAGAATGCTTCTACTCGACTAATAAGTGCAGTAAAAGATCTTAGGGAGGCTTTTTTACAACTAGTTACTGATCATTTTCATCTCCTCAACGATCGAGGCTGTGGTGTATAAAAATATTTGTAAAGCAAACTAAATAAGTTTCAAAGGTCATTTTATTAAGTTATTCAGCAGTACATGTGTCGATTTTTAATATTCGTGTAGTTACTCCAAAACATCATGCGCAAAAAGCTTTATTGACAAACCTAAAGGCATTTTTACATAAACATTCATGCGCCGCCTGTTTTCTTAAATTTGACGACGAATTTATTAAATTAAATATATATTAAATAATTGGCCGTGTGATGCCGGCTTAGAATAGCATCACCCCATTTCTTTCCTGTGGGTGTCGTAAGAAGCGACTAAAGGACTCGAGGGTATCATGTGTATTGCAATTTTAGGCGACAGGCTGACAACCTGTCACTATAGCGATACACGACAATAGCTAAAACGGCCCTCAAATATGTGTCAGACGTGGCGACAACGACCGTACTTTTACAGCCGTTGACGCTCTGCCTACCCCGCAAGGGATAAAGGCGTGATGTATGTATGTATGTATGTATTAAATAATAATTGTATGAGCTAATGTAAATATTGGTAGTCTAGTTGCAGTTACAGCTCACTTATTCCGTTAAAAGTCGAATAAGAGTGCTTTGTCACCACATTTATAGCACAAGGTGTCGCCATGATAATATTTAGGGTTCCTTTGGTACAAGACCAAAAAACATTTTCTTTTTATTTTCAAAGAACATTTTATTTCATAAAACAATGCCAGTCTTCTTGGATGTTGATACCTTTCTTAACAAAGATGATTTAAAACAACTTGGCCAATTGCGCTGGCCTTGGAAGGAAACGCATTTTATATTATCAGATAAATGTAACGGATGTGGCCTTAGTACAAACGATAACTCAATCAGAAGAAGATTTCACTTTGTTCTACCTGACAATAAAATAAAGCATGTATAAATATCTTTTGGTGTTTCATTGCTTGCGTCTACGGAACCACTTAAAACTGGCGGACTCGCGCTTGGATGTGCACTAGCATTACTAGCAGACATTAAATTGGGCTGCATTAGTTTTGCAGAATATTTCATCTGCTCCAACGTTTTTTTAACTTTCTTTCGAAAATGGCCGCTTCTTTTCAACTTTTTCCATTTGTTTTTATCCATTTTGATAGTAAAATTGTACGAAAAACGTCTTTAAGATATCGACCGACAAAATGGACGGACTTGTGCTATTAATGTTTCCCAAAACTCTACAATTCTACTTTAAGCTGAGTGAATATCGTATAATAGCTCTTAAAATGACTACAGATCCTATAAAAACGTTTTGATTTCTATTATACGAGTTACTCTATAAGCGTGCAATAACAGCAGCCATGTTGCTATAAGCAATTCGATTGCATTTATAGAGCTTTTATAGATACATAAAAGAATGCTGAATAACGGCTGTATAAAAGCGCCCTATTCAGAGAATCAGCTATTCTACTGCTATTACACGACTGTTATAGATCAATCGGTCGAATAACGAGTATTAAAGCCACTTTAATTCAGCATCTGATAAAAGGTGGAGTAAAAGTGCTATAACATAGTGTTATAAACGTTTATTCGACGTCCTTATAGCACACATTAGCAAATATTGCCAAATAGTCGAGATAACTGCTATTATACGATACATGGGTGTTTTGAGAACGGTTACTCGGCTTTTATACGATTGAAAGCTGAGTAAACCAATTCTTACTCGACTTTTTTGCTGCTTGGGTTCTTTATTTATGCGAGCCTGGTACAACACAAACTGTCAATACACCTGCGATGCCGCGCATTCAAACGCGCGCACATTTTTGGCGCTCTAAAGGGCGCCACACACCGGGCCCTTGTGCGTGACGTGCACGTCATCACACTCCACGCATAGCGCGGTGTGCGGTGGTGTTTCATACAATCCCTACAATCGTATACGATACAACGTCATCTCTACGCACATGGTGACGTGCACATCACGCATACGGGCCCGGTGCGTGGCACCCTTTATGCTTAAGATGCAAGTTTGTTCCTTGCATGCAGCACCCGCACGTGGTTAACAACTTTCGAATAACTCGCGTGGTTGAAGTTAATGGCAAGAGATATGTTATGCGACTGTTCTGGATGAACAAACGCACTACCTTTACCTTTAGGGTAAAATTTTGTTCATCATCGAAGACGACATATTACTCTTGTAAGCCGATGCAACAACAGTCGTAGATATGACAATGGAACTACTGCAAATGATTGAAAGCAAAGACTACGACTTATTGTCGCATCAAACGCCCCTGTTTTTTGCATGTTGTCGGCCGTGTGTGGCTGTAATCTACCGCGATGACGAACTTGCACCTTTAACTACACGAGAAAGTAAATAAAAAAGCTATGAACCTTAATATTTATTCAAGAATTCAAAAAGTTGCCTCCTTATTGATAAATGATATCTTTCGACGGAACTACAGTACACTGTACACGGATTTTCAAGAAATGCACAGTCTGAACAGCTTTAGCATGCTTCCTTGTCTTCTTTTTCAAGTCCAAGTTCCAGTTCCAAGTCTTCTTTTCTTTCTTGTGTGGAACAAATAACAGGACAAAGCAGCTTCTTGTTGTTGTCAAATCAATGGCGAAAAATGCACACGTGCATGCGTGCGTGCCCACAAAAAGCAACAGAACGTTTCTTAATTAAAATTTTAGCAGACGAAATAAGAAATTGTATTTAATTTTATGTTTTGTATTATTTAATTTCCATAAACTTCACAAAAACGTCAAAAGTGACAATGACAATTATCAATGGGTAATTTTAATTTTATCCATATCTATCATCTCTTTGGTAAAATTTGCATGCATTCATCCTTTTTGCTAAAATGACACTGTTGATCTTTCGAAGAATATCTTGAAGAATATGGAATCCTAGTACATTTTCATAATTTACTGTACTGCCGACTCGCTTCTTCAGAAAATAAATGTCTCGGGAAAATGTGAAGAAGGCGAATGTTAGGAATAGTTAATAGGAAAGCAGAAATGCAATCAACATTTCCTCAAAAAGATCTTGGATCTTGCTTG